GGAGGTAGTGAATGTGGTGGTGCAAGTGGTGGAGTTGGATGTGGAAGGGGGGGGGGGGTCATTTTTTAAAATGAATTATGGTATTTTGGGAATTAAAAAAATTCATTAAATGTCCATATCTGTTTCTTTTGAAAGCAGCTTTAAAAAGCAACCTAGAGCCTGCTTTTAAAAGCTGCTGTTAAAAGGCCATCGCTTTTAAAATAATCGGGATATTTTCTTTTTACCAAACACCTTAAACTGCTTAACTTTAAAGTAAAGTAGGTTTTTGGCGAAAAAAAGCAATCCCAAACGGGGCCTTATGGTGGTAAAATTTTCAAGCGTATGTGACGCTTATTTACTTGTGATTATTTCAATTGGTGTATGTAATAAATGATAAAACAAGAAATACTATCATATATAGGTAGCTTTCACAAAATTTTATTCCTAGGTATTAAAACCCAAACAGAAATACTCTATGTACCCGTTTGGCATTGCTTATTTGGGGTAATAAGTGATTTTTAAAAAATTTCGGGAAGCCCAGCCCGTTTGGTAACCTATAAGAAAATCACTTATTGTTAAAAATTGCTGTGAGAGAAAGCAATAAATGAAAGCAGCTAATGACCTGCTTTCATTTTCTGATTATACGGTAATCAGATTTGAGAGAGCGCTGGGTTTTAATGAATTTTACAACTTCCGAAAATACCCCAATCTATTTTCACGCTCTCTCTTCCTCCTTCCCTCACATCACGTTGCTTCTTCACACAATCTCTTCACAGAGCCCACTCTTCTCCTTCTCTTCCATTCTGCCTACGGTTTTTTGTTGTTGGATCCATTGAAGCTCACTGCTGAGCCACAAGACTCAGGTAAGAGACGCATTAAAGGGTTCAAGAAGAATGAGTGCTGCTGAGATGTTAGGGATGTTCTTGAACATCTTAGGACATGGTTCTGCAAATAGGCAAGCACAAGATCGCTTTCAACATTCTGGTGAGACTGTGAGCAGATATTTTAGTATCTTACTTGATGTTGTATGTCGTTTGGCTGTGGATGTAATTAAACCATTGGAAAATGCGTTTAACAACACTCCAAAGGAAATCCTACAGGATTCTAGATATATGCCTCATTTCAAGGTAACTATTACATATACTATTAAATATTTGTCTATGTTTTATTATGTTATAATTAATATTATGTTTGTCTTTTTATCACTTGTAGGATTGTATTGGTGCTATAGATGGTGTTCATGTGCAAGCTGTAGTATCTCCTTCTAATCAAATACCATTTATTGGTAGAAAAGGGATACCTACCCAAAATGTGATGGCTGCATGCAATTTTGACATGCAATTTATATTTGCATGTGCCGGATGGGAAGGCACGGCCCATGACACAAGGATATTTCTATCAGCTTTACGTGATCAAAGTTTGAATTTTCCTAAACCTCCAAATGGTACTATTTCTATCTAAAGAAAAAAAATTCATATAATTTATATTTCAGTTTTTTTACATTGTGAATAATCTATAAAATTTTGTTTTAGGAAAATATTATCTGGTAGATGCGGGATACCCACAAATAAGAGGCTACTTAGGATAGGACCATATAAAGGTGAAAGATATCATCTTCCTGATTTTCGTAGGGGTGTTCAACCGATGGGTCATAAAGAGGTATTCAATCATGCACACTCTTCCCTTAGAAGTGTTATTGAACGCACTTTTGGAGTATGGAAAAAGAGATGGAGTATTTTACGAGACATGCCTAGTTATCCTTTTGCAAAACAAGTCAAAATAGTTATTGCAACCATGGCACTTCATAACTATATAAGAAGACATGCCAAACGTGATTGTCATTTTGATGAAAGTGAAGATGACCTAAATGGTACTCAAGATGAAGAGATTGAGAGAGAGGTTGATGCACAACAAGAAGATGGTCCTGTAACACAAGAAATGGAGGCATTGAGAAATAATATAGCCGCAAGTTTAATGAGTTCATCTGCTTAGAAATGTATATGATTGCTTGTTTAGGACTAGTTTAATTTTTGTTATAACCATATTATTGACAATATATTTATTTTTAATGGAATACTTTATTTATTTTATAATTAAAATAATTTTTAGGGTGTGATGGAAACATATTTAATTTTAAAAAAATTATATAAGCTAAAGTGAAAGTGCTTTTCCTTTTACCAAACACTTGAACAGAAAAGTCATTTCAGCATAATGCCCTTTTTAGTCATTATACACAGCTCACAGCACTTTTACAAACAAATTTACCAAACACTCAGAAACTGATTATTGTACAAACAGCACTTATAACAAAAAGTTTACCAAACGCCAAACTGCTTTCTCTCACAGCTGATTTCTCTCACAGCAAATCTGACAGCGATTATTTTCACAGCACAGCAATGCCAAACTGGCCCTATGTCTCAAATCCTAATTAGTAAGGATTGTTATGTCTAACACCTAATTTTTATTTTTCATTTTTTATTTATGGTGAGAACCCTTGAGCTGGAGAAAACCCTAGCAAAACCATCCTCAGCCGCCAACCCCCTTGGGGGTGGGTGGCTTCCCTCCCCTCCCCCTTCTCTCTCTGCCCTTCCCCTCTCTCTACTCCTCCCATTCCCTTGATTTCCCTTTTGGCTTGTTGCTTTTTGCCATTTTGGCTAGTTTATTATGCACTTGGTTGTTTTGTTTGTCTTCTTTTTGCAGAGTTGGAGCTTCTGCTTTAGATCTACTTCAGATCTGCATGGTTCGTTTCAATTGTGATTTGGAGATAGACAAGGTGACTGTGCAGTTTTATTTACTTGTGTGTTTAAACTTGGTTGAGTTGTAATAATTGCATCAACTCGTTGTGAGTTTGATGCTTGTTTGTACTCTAGTCTCTACTTGTGAGAGTTTAAAGGTTGTAGTTGTAGATTTACTTTGGTGTGTGGTTTTCCAGGCTAGTGGCTTTTATGACGGAATTTATTTGGCCATGTGTGGCTGGATTTGGACTAACCCTTTGTGGTTACTGTGCTTCCATATTTATAATAACCCTTTGTGATTATGTGTATTTGTAGCAGCCCTTGTGGCTGACGGCCTTTATGCCTAAATTATGAATGCAACATTGCCTTTATCTCCAAAAAAATAAAAAAATTACAGACATATACTTATGTTGTGTTCTAATGATTGACTCAAATTGTTCAATTCAACAACATCAATTAAGGATTTATGGTGGTAAAATTTTCAAGCGTACGTAACGCTTATTTACTTGTTCTTATTTCAATTGGTGTATGTAATAAATGATAAAACAAGCTACAATGCACAAAAACTGAGACTTGAGAGAGAGAAATCATATATAGGTAGACTTGAACCACACATATAGGTTTACAAAGAATAATTATATATCTTGAGCCAGAGACCTTAAAATTCTCTTAAATTCGAACACATTTTCTCACTATTAGAATTAACAAGTGGCCAAAAAAAAAAGGGGTGGATTCTAGCATGAAATTTTATACAAAAATCCTTAGAGAGTATGTTTAAAGAAAAAAAAAAAGCCCTCAACTAGCCACTTGTCATATTCTAATTGGTTATTAATGTGTTATAATTGTTCACTTGAAAGTACAACATGAAGTTTTTCTAAAGTATTGGACTTAAAGGGCTTTTTGTATAAAATGTAATGCTAGAATGGGCCTATTTGTAATTTTTTTTTTTCTTTTCCCAATACCTTTATCTTTAAATCAAAATTCAAACTTTTTTCTTCGTTATAATATTGAAAAGAAAATTATTAATTTTTTTTAGCGGAAGATGCCTATGTTCTTGTATGACACACATCTTTATATTGGAGGAAGAATAATACAAATTAATTATGTGTGCTTATCAATAACATACATCTAGGTAGGTATAACACACATTTACGACTATTGTTGGTTACCAATTTCATTTGAAGGGCCCATTTTCTAGAGTTAACCTAATTAGTTACTTTCTCTTAAGAAATTAAGGCGGTTTCCCATTACCAAAAGGAAAGAAAAGGAAACGTTTTGATCAAGCAACTCAAGTCTTAGTCGGCCAATCCCCAACGAATAAGGAAACCCACCACCCTGTATATATATCTGTTAGTCCTCTCACTCCACAATACACTTCTTCAAACAACCAAAGCAATCTCAAACTCTAAGTTTCCAGACGCGACTAATTTCCATGGAAGACTTCCCTGCCAATGCCATCCATCACGAGCGTGAACTCTTCAGCTTCAGAATCTACGACATTACCGCAGAAACTAAATAACCCTAATCCTGTTCATAATCGGAACCGTTCATCAGTGCAGCCGGTTAAGTTTCATGTCAAGATTGTGCACGATACCCATTACAAATACGTCAATTGTTCCTTGAACCTTACGGAAACCACCATCAGAGAATATGTGAAAAGAAAGGAAAGAAAATGCCGATTCGACATGGACAAGTTAAAGAAGTTCCGCGAGGCGCATGCCGCATGGGATTCTTTCTATCATGCTGGCGCTAGTTGGAATCAGTAGAGATGATGCATCGAACAAATGGGTCCCACGAGAAGCATGATCAGTAGAGATTATGTATCTCTGATATTCACCACAGATGGGTCCCACGAGATAGTAAAAATTTGGGACATATAATTTCCGAACGAATCGCAAGCTCCAAGCCTTAAGCCCTCTTTCCAAAGTTTTTGTCCTTTTTGGCTAAGAATTTTGCTTATTTACCAAAAATTGTGCTTACATATACCAAAATTTGTAACTTTACTTCCAAGTACAATTTTACAAATTTTTATAATTAATTAATTGGAAAATTAATCAGAACTCTGTTGTTTTGAGATATCTTTTCCCACCGAAGAAACCCAAGTCTTGACTGGGTTCTTTAACAGTTTGTTAATCCTACACCAACTAGGAAACAACCCACCTCTACAATATAAAATCTAAAACCCTAGTTTAAATTTATTTTAGATACTATCGCTGACTTCATTAATTAGCTGCTGCTTCTTTCAGTCATGGAAGTAGAAGTCCAACTTACTAGGCAGCTACGAACCTTCATCACCGGCTCAGTTTCTGGTCAAGTTTGACTACCAAGTCAACCACACATATACTACGATATTCATTCATCAGATGATATTGGAACTCGTCGTGAAACCCTCGTTGACCAACTTCAAGAAAAATATGAAAAAACAATTGAATTTGAGAAGCCTGTGTTGAGGAAGTGCGGCGAGTTGTACGAGTTTCTTTCTCAAGTGTTGTCGTCCTTCGGAATTGCAAGTTCAGATGAGAATTCTGGGTTGCATGATCAAATAGTGGATGGGATTATAAAGTGGGGTCGCAAAATTGACCGGAAATTTTTTCCGACGAGTGTCCAGAGGTATGGGGGTTGTATGTTCATATTGGAAAAGACCATGCCATGTATCGGTGTGAGGAGTGTTTGAAGGGTAAGGTTAGGAAGAAATCAATGGCGGCAAGCAATTACAATGGTATGGTATCGATCAAGAAGGTACTAAAGAAGGTCATAGATGGTAAATTAGTATCATGTGATGATGTGAAGGAGGAGGGTACAAAGAGAAAAGGAAGGAGAATTACCGGAAGTGATAATGTGAAGGAGGAGGGTAGGGAGAGAAAAACAAGGGGAGAAAGTGTAGTTGATGATGTGGAGGAGGAGGAGGGTACAACAAACAGAAAAAGAAGGAGAAGCGTCGTAAGTGATAATGTGAAGGAGGAGAGCACAAAGAGAAAAAGTAGGAGAAGTAGTGGAATTGAAAGTGAGAGTTGCAGTGTTTGTATGGAGATGACTAAGAAAAAGTCGCGATTGATTGTTCCGTGGTTCCTTTAAATTTGATTGTTTTGAGGCTTCCTTGGATGGATGAATTGTTATTAATATTGTAACTAATTTACATATGATCTTAAGGTTTAGTTGTTTAGTATTTGTTGGCTTTGTTCATTTTAGCCCTAAATTCATCGTCATATCATTCATCAACAATATCTAATATACATATAGCACTTTTAGATTCGCAGGTTGTGGAATTGAGAGATAATAACATCAACAAACATCCTAGCTTGCTAGCAATATATTGTATTAACTATAGTAAATCTCTAGACTTACTAGCTAGCTATATCTTGTTTAAAACACCAAAGTAATGACCTTCCTAGCTAGCTATATCTTCTTTATTCCTCATCATCCACAGCATCAATGCCACATCTCTAAACTCCTTTCCCAAATTGTGCTTTGCCAAATTCCACCTCTGTGTCTCTGGTGTGGTTTTGGATTTTAGACACAGTTGTTTAAGGCACTAGTACTACCAGACATTGAAGTGCACATTGGTACAGCCATTACGGCTATTTGAGAATTACATGATGTCGGTTAGCCAGAGCCCACACCCCTCATTTCCTTGTAAAGCAACCTTATCAACTGGATATATAGTACTTAAACACATTAATTTGAGTTTTAATCTGCTGGGTGTTAATTCTTGTTAATGAATCTCCTTGAAGCAAATCAAGTTTGTGTGAAAATACTTGATTTATGGCGCTACCAATAAACTTTGCCAAATCTAAAGAAAATCCGAGTGAGTAAAATGCGCAAGTGCCTTGTAGTTCAACCTATATGTCTTCAGTGTTCGTTTTCCCTATCTTATTATTGCTTGTAAAAAGGGAAAAGGCAAAAAGGAAAAAGTGAAAAGTACATAGAAGTGGCTTCCCTAACTTACTTACCCTAGGATGTATGCCAATGGGTGAAACCCAAGGATTTATGCCAAGGGGTGAAAGTTGGAAACTGAGGACATTTTTACTGAAGATGGAAGTGGTCCTAGAATGAGCCTGTTCTAGAATTTCATAAGGAGATTCTCGGATGAAGGATCTTTCTATATTGTCAACTATCATGATGTTTTTTAATTTAGTCGGTAGGTTGAAATCAGGGGCGGAGCCAATTAAGGCCCACAAGGGTCACTTGACCCTTCTCATCATTTGATAATTTGGTTTTGTATTTGTTGCATTTAACTCAATTACTTTCTATATTACA